CCCGAACCTCTGTGTTCACAAGTTTCAGTAATGCGTTTGCAGCCTTCGTGACTGGGGACCAATTTTAATTAAACACTGCTTGTGAACAAATTGTGCTAGTTATTTTCAATAATAACTTGTTATGTATTGTATGGGGGAAGCAATTAAGACCACTGTGGTCGCCGCGACGCCGCGGAAAAACTTCGTTGATAACATTTATTTCGGACCTGCCTTTTGGCTTTGATATTGCTTTATCGTGTTTTTTGTTTCGTTGCTGCGCACCATGGGTTTGCCAGAGTGTCATTTGAAAGGCAGTGCACCTGGCACATTATTCGCCCACTCTACATCGCAACCTCGCCGATCAAACGACATATCTCATAAAATCGACATTCTGTTATGTACCAAACTCTTCAGATGCATAATTCTACTTTACTCGCGCTGTAACTCTGCGTAAAAGAGCAACTTCATGTTTACACAGACGCGAAGACGCAGTTATTTCCACGCCCTCTCAGCTGTGCGAACAAACCTCATGCTAGGGACGATTCTACCAGAGTCGAGCTGAAATGTGTAAGGATGGGTAGTTGGGCCAGTTGGTTTTGCATCATGGTGTAATACGCCAAAACAACAGGGACAAAAACGAAGGGAGAACTAGACAAGACGCGGCGTAATTTTCAACTGAATTGTTTATTTGGATGACAGAATGTAAAAAATAAAAATAAAAGCAGGCACACTTGGCAGAACACCAAATATATGGTCTAAACCCCCCCCCCCCTCAAATGCCAGCGTCATTGGTTCTTCAAATAGTAAAATTCTTTATCAGTCAAGGACAAAGAGGGAGCGCTTATACAAGTATTGTCGTGGTGGGACCACTGATCTCTATTATAGGGGGCTGGATGGCGCTTAGCCGCTCTTCGAGCCGGGCGCGCATGAAGCCACCGGAAGTTCTGGTGCTTGTCCCGGAAGTCGAGCGTCTGCTACACTTCTCTGAGCTTCTGAACATATGAAGTCGCAGTTTTTGCCCGCGATTTCTTGAGGTCTAATTGTGATTTTTAGCATCGTACTGTTAGAATAGGACACTTGAATGTAAAACATCTAAATCTAATGAAGGAAAGTTTGAATAATTGCAAAGAAACAATTGTCAAAGCTGAACGCTGGGCTAGTTGGTATTGGGATGTCAAAATCATGGTAGCGCTTTTAGACGAAGACGAAGGAGAGACAAGACACACACGAGCGCTCGTGTGTGTCTTGTCTCTTCTTCGTCCTGGTCTAAAAGTGCTACCATGATTTTAAACAATTGTCACCGCTGTTTTTTTGGCTGTCGACAGAGGGTACGGTATACGGTAGCGTAATGAAGCAGTGTTGCGCAGCCTTTTTTGGCCTCCGGAGAGTAGAGAAGAATTGACCGCTCCTCAGCTTGTAACATCAGACTATACGGGTTCCGCCCTTCTATATCGGGTTTACGGCTAACCCGTAACGTCAGTAACTGTAATGTCAGTAACTGAATGTGCGCGCGCGAAGTATAGTCACCATGAAGTGATGTTCTTAGATGTGCTAGAAGGAAATGCCATGCACGATTACATTCATGAGCAGGGCCTATACCTAAAGGCTCTAAGGGCTGGCTCGGACCTGACAGTTGCGTAGATATGCAACCGAGATACCTGGGCTTCGTACGCCGCGTGCCAGCTACTCGTAGGAATGTCCGGGCAAGTCGCGGGCGTAAGTCGCTGCACGCACCCGTAACGTAGAAAACAACTTTGTCAGTAAAGTGGTCTGCGCGGTATCCAGTAGCTTTAACTGCTTTTAGAGACAGGGAACCAGTCTGCAACCTCGCGTGGGGAGCAGCATATGCTGCAGCCTGCAATTATTATAAAGTATAATAGCTTTCTCAATCATTTTAACTGATTTCCTTAGTACTGTAAAAATAAATGTTGATTTAGGTTTAGCATTCTCTGGCCATAATACTATTTTTAGAAATGACACCATATAAGAGCCCCACCAAAGGCCATTACCTGGTTGCTGGCCCTGGGGGCATACTAAATGTAAAATAAAATAAAATTCTGGTTTAAAAAAAAAACTGTTTATTTTGTGCAAAACTGGCACGCTTGTCAGCAAGTTTCAGACAGCTTGGTTTTTACTGGTAGTTGAAAAGAATCAGTTTGGTCAAGCGCTTACGCATGTTCGGACCAGCGATCTTCATAGTTGCTCTTTTTGCAGCATGGTGCATCCTTATCTTTATGTAGCATCCAATGACACATTTCACGAGGCGAACAAAATGATTTGAATCGACTGCGGATTGGAACATGTGCTCATGTAGCTCTGGATAGAGCATGTTTAATTGCCCCGAAAGCTCCCTCATAACTCTGGCTGTCAGAGTGTCGGCAGTCATCCCTTTCTTGGGAAAACTGCCACCATCCACCTTCTCCTGCTGTCGAACTACCCGTTCCGCCAGCTGACAGATGTATGTTGTGGAAGGCGATGGCTTGGTGAGGCCACCATAATTTTTTCTGTTCAGAAGTGCTGACGAGCACGCCTCAGCCTTAGACGCTGAGCGACACGTTGAGCAAGGTATCTTTTTTTCAACCATTTGGCATACGAACCCTGCGATGTAGCCTACAACATCTCCCAAGTAGGGTGACAGCAGAGGAAGATTTTCAAGTTCACCTTCCATTTCACTCTCGTCAGGGAGGTCTACGCTTTGCACAAGGTCTTCTGTATCATTTTGCTTGGCTGTAGTCGTGTCCAGTTCATCAGGAGCGCAGAACTGACTGCTCACATACAAAATCCGTGTTTTATCTAGTAAAGCACAGTTTCCCACGCCACCTTTTACCTCATTGTGGACAACCAGTCGCTTGTACGCTGCTATGAACTGACGCACCGTAGGGTTATTGTTCCGGCCTCCCTTGGAACGAACGGCACCAAAGAAAAGCTCAATGTGGTCCTGTGAAAGCTTGTAGGTCAGGAGGTAGCGCAGTGGTGGGGTTTCACCAAAAAGGAGGGAGGATGCAAGGCCCATTGTGCTTTCAATGGTCATCAGGAAACCAAGAAAAGCAGTTTGCCTTGGTGTATCGAAGATAGGTCTTTCTGCAGCATCAGTGAGTGCTCTTATGTAATCCTTGGCTTTCTCAAGAAAAGAAATCCAAGTGACTCTGCTGCCAGGTCGGAGGGGAGCCTTGAATCCCTTAGCGAGGGGGTTACGCGAGTTTAAGCAATCAAAGAGTCGATCAAAGAGCCGGATGAATTTCACAGTTGCTTCCGATCCCTTGAATTGTGGGAGTTTCAGATCTTCCCGGCAGAACTCTATGGCATCTGCAACACTAGAGCTCAAGGTCTGGGCAGCAAGATTAACCTTCATTTTTTGCTTCTGCCAGTCAATGTGTGCAGCACGGAGCTTTGTTGCAGCATGCAGGCCTTCTTTCTCCTGGAGCTCATACAGTTGTCGGATGTAGTTCCATTCTACCAATAAGCCGGTTGAATCTCTGAGCCACTTCAGTGAAGAGAGAGCATTCCGCACCAGCTTTATCATGTGACATGCATCCAGAAAACAGTATACCCTCCCGTCTGTGACAGGGTGAGGGAATGATATCACCATAATCGATCTGTCTTCAAGTGAAGCCCCCAAATTCTTGAGCATTGTAAAGTTACAACGGAGTCCGTCACATGTCAGCGATGTTACACATGCTCCTGCATCATGCAATTTTGTCAGACACAGTTTGACTATGTTTGTGCGTTCCTTTCCTGAAAGTCCATTGATCAGGAAATATCCGCAGGGGATCTACCAGTGTGCATTTAGTGATACAAGCATAAAAACGAGGGCTTCAGTAGCGACATCATTGCTGTCATCATCAAGCTCGTTACCAATGTCAACATAGCCCCTGCACTTTTTAGAGCGCAGCTCTTAGGGGCCCGTTTCCGGCTTGAGCGGCGTCGCCGTCGCCGTCGCCGTCGCCGTCGCCGTCGCCGTCGCCGTCGGCGTAACCGCGCGGTGCATCATGGGAAATGTCCCATAATGCACCGCGCGAGCCCCCCACCAAGGTCACGTGACCTCGTGGGGGGTCACGTGACCCCCCGAAGTCACGTGACTCCCCTGAGGTCACGTGACCCCCGCCGATATCGCGTGACCCCCCGATGACGTCATCGTCACTGATGACGTCACCGGCATCCACATCGTCATCGTCATCATCACTGATGACGTCACCGGCATCCACATCGTCATCGTCATCATCACTGATGACGTCACCGGCATCCACATCGTCATCGTCATCATCACTGATGACGTCACCGGCATCCACATCGTCATCGTCATCACTGATGACGTCACCGGCATCCGCATCGTCATCGTCATCATCACTGATTACGTCACCGGCATCCACATCGTCATCGTCATCATCACTGATGACGTCACCGGCATCCACATCGTCATCGTCATCATCACTGATGACGTCACCGGCATCCGCATCGTCATCGTCATCATCACTGATGACGTCACCGGCATCCACATCGTCATCGTCATCATCACTGATGACGTCACCGGCATCCACATCGTCATCGTCATCATCACTGATGACGTCACCGGCATCCACATCGTCATCGTCATCATCACTGATGACGTCACCGACATCCGCATTGTCATCGTCATCATCACTGATGACGTCATCAGTGACGTCACTGATGTCGTCACCGGCATCCGCATCGTCATCGTCATCATCACTGATGACGTCATCAGCGACGTCACTGATGACGTCACCGACATTCGCATCGTCATCGTCATCATCACTGGTGAAGTCATCAGTGACGTCACTAATGACGTCATCGGTACCCGCATCGTCATCGTCACTGATGACGTCATCAGTGACGTCAGTGATGACATCATCGGCATTGGGGGTCACGTGACCCCCAAGGTAACGTGACCCCCCCCTGGTTAGTTTAACCCCCCCCCCCAGTGCCCTTCCCTCCTCCTCCTCAAGAGCTGCGCTCTAATTCGGCGTTACAGGGAGTTGTAAGCGGCTTTCATTTTTTCCATCTCATTCTATGTGTTTTCTGATCGCCATCTCGTCAACGACAAGGTTGCAAAGAAGCTCCTTGTTTTTCTGCTTCACTTTGTTGGCGTTTGCCCGGATGGCATCCATAGCTTCACCTGTAAAACCAGGTTCTCCATTTAGAGAACTGTACCACTTGGTCAACGTTGATGGATGTGGCAAGGCACATTCAGAAGTCTCTCTTACATAGTTGTACGCTTTAGTTGAATAAAACTGCAGCGTGAGCGCAAACATACGTAGTGCAGGCGAGTATTTCTCTCGGTTTAGCTTAGCCAGCTTGTCACTTCCGACCGGAGTTTGTTTGAGCAAACGCTGCATAACTGCTAGGGAGACTCCTGAGAAACATCTCTCAAGCATTGCACTAGCATCTTCTGAAATTAGCTGTTTCTTTCTTAGGTCTTCGATAATTTCACTAAATGTTTCTACTCTCCTCTTCAGTCGACGTTCTCGTTGCTGACTGAGCTTGAGCTTTTTCTTGGCATTGGTTGCAGCAGTTGCACAGGCATCAAGCTTCCTTTTCAGGGTTTTTGGAGTGTCCTTGACAGCATAGTTGTGCTCGGCAACCTGAAAACAATGCATTTGATAGATTAATATTATGCAAGTGTAATACATAACTGGACTGTGCATTGCAACCACTTAAAATGTTAGCAAAAGGATTTGGTATCTAAATGCTGCTTCCGCCACTCCTCCTTGATGCTTAATCTCTCTTTGCAGCAAAAGAAAACTATAGAACATGAAAGCCTTTCTTTTCTACTACTTACGGTGTCTCTGCATTGAGGCAGTTTGCTCAAAAGTAAGCTTACATCATTTGAGGCCTTTTGTGGTGTACTCGGCGAGCCGCTGGCTTCCCCGTCAAGTAGTGTCGCATCCAGGTTCGGTGTTCTCAGCTTTGGTGGCTTCCTTGTCGCAGTTTTCTGAAATAAGCATGTAATAAACATGTTCTGTTAGACAAATTAATCCTCACCGTAAATGCAAGACATTGCAAAAATATTAGCATATAGATAATATTTAATCATTAGCTATTAGCACATGCTACAAATGGCATCTATAGTCACAGATATTTATATGCCTTTTAATAAGCCAGCAATATTGGATCTTATCATCTTCGAGAACTTGCTGAGACATTACCGGAAAAGTTTGTGATGATACATTACATCAATCAAGGCGGAACTATTGCTGCTATGTCACTTCCACTGGGTCAGTGAATTTAACTTATTGCTTGATCAAAATTTCTGTTGTTCCTTTTCCCAAAAATGCCTGTTCGCTTTTCAGTTCCTACATGCGCTGCCTGCTGGTCCTGCTGTTATGCGCACTTAGCCACAAGGCATCTGCAGGCACATTAGCAGTGTGTCATCAATTATAGCCTTGAAGTTGTTTGCTGAGGAACAGAATTTCACCTGTGCGTTGGGAAAAGTTAAAACGCACGTGGTTTTGCAAGACAAACGTCAATACGAACTGCCTCGCCCAAGCAAGATGCGACGACCTGAACTTGCACCCAATCGCGCGTACATCATGCACGGCACAACTAGAACGGTATCCACGCTACCGCTCATTTACCGCCTGAAAAAGGCAGTCCTACCTTTTGCAGGTGTTCTGGGAAGTTGAAGAGCGTCGGGACTGCGCCGCTTCGCAGCCGGGTTCTGGCTCCTGTTCGGTCGAAGCACGAATCATCGAAGTGGTCGCTGCAAAGTCTGCTGCCGGGAGATGGTTTCCACTTGTCCCTTTTTAAGTTTACGACCCATTGCTGGTACAGTTTCGGCTGACAGCGCGGAAACCTGCATGAAGGAGCCATGTGGCAGCGCCGGTTCTTGCTTTGATCAACCCGAGCTAGAACTGAAACTGCGTGCCACTTGGCCGCGTAACACTGAGATCAACGAAATACATACTTACAGGTGAAATGTCTTGCCTGAGGTCTTCTCCGGCTTACTCGTGCAGTTTACCGCAGAGCATGCTGGCATGCTGTCATCTTTAAAAGGTTGGAAAGGATGGACACTACAAGCGCCAGCAGCCTAGAAACCACGCGCGAAGAGCAGACCGCTACTCACTTCCGGGACAAGGCCGCTCGCTCCCGGTGGCTTCATGCCAGCGTGCTCGATGCGCCATCCAGCCCCCTAGTGTAGAGATCAGTGGATGGGACCTAATCAGGAAAGCTTCGTGAATTTCTCTTGCTGTTTTTGTTTTGTAATGGCCCATGACATCGGTGTCACCAAAGATGGGGCTGCACTTTTCAGAGTTGGGCCCGCAATCACAACGGTCACAGTGGACCGCTAAGTGGTCAGACGGGGACTGCCTGATTGCCAACGCATGCTCTCTGACCCTATCATTAATGCACCTCCCCGTCTGGCCAACGTACACCTTACCACATGACAAGGGGATTTTGTACGTGACACTGGTGGCACACTCGCGGAACTTAGTGACATGTCGTCTTTTGCACGACTCTTGTGGCACATCCGATTCCTCTCCTAATCTGCTTATCCTTTTACACAGTGAAGATAGTTTATTCGGTGCAGAAAAAAACGACTGATATGTCAAAACGATGGGCCACCTTCTTCAGATTGTGGGACATCTTGTGAATGTAAGGCAAGACAACAGGCCTACCTACCCTCTTGGGAGCCCTTTCGCACACTGCGCTGTTGTCTTTTTTCATCTTTTTTTCTAAGGTTTTTGAAACATCTCGAAGAACATGACAAGGGCACCCTGCCTCTTTAAGTCTGCGGAGTTGAGAATGAAAACTGTTTTTCATCCGGTGGGGGCACGATTACTTTAGCGCGGCCCTTAGGCAAGATGACGCAATGCCCCTCTTCACTAACTTAGAGTGCGCCGAGCTGAATGGCAACATTCCTTTCTTGGAACGGGGCTCATACGCCCAGCAGGTAGGCTTCACACCGAAATATAACCCAAGATCCAAAAACTGCAGTTGACCAGAGACCGATGTCTCGTGGGTGAATTTTAAGCCAAAAGCGCAGCTTGCGAGCAGTTTTAAAAAACCGGCGATCGCTTGATCATCCGGAATTGCAGGGCGGGAAACACACACCAAATAACCGTCTACGTAACGAAAAATTTTAACATGTTCCTTCTGTTGAATTATTTTTAGATATACGCTTGTCGCAATTTGCAAGAAAAATGTCACACAGTACCGGTGCTATAGCGGAACCGATGCAGATACCACGTTTCTGCACAAACAACTCTCCCTCAAAGGAAACGAAAGTGGAGTTGAGGTAGTGGTTCAGCAGCTCCAAAAAACCTTCGACTGTGAGACCACACGCATTGCGAAATGGGACCTCCCCATTTTCCTCAATACAAAGTCTGACAGCCTCAAAAAGGTGTTCATGGGGGACCGAAAAAAAAGGTCTTCCACGTCAATTGGGAAACCTGTTGTCCCCTTAAGGACTCCTCCTTGTAGGAACTCTAAAATTTCTTCAGAATTCCTGACCAGGAAAGGATGCCCCAGCTCCAACGCAGACAAGTGTTTACGTAGAAAACCCCCCACTTCCACCTGCCACGAATCCTTCTCCGTAACTATAGCCCTGAACGGACACCCACTCTTGTGGGTTTTAGCTATGAAAAAAACTTCCAGGTTAACATTCTTTGACGATAGCACTTTCTTTCCTAAGCTGGATAGATCCAACTTCTGACATAAGGCTTTGGTTTCCTATTTTACCTTGTTCAGTGAAACATCCTTAACAGGTTTGAAATGTTTTTCTATGGCCTCACGTGACTTGTCTTTGAACAGCTTTTCTTCCGCTACCACAAAGCCGCCCTCCTTGTCAGCTACTAGTAGACGGAGGTTATTTTCCTTGAAGTGTGAAACAACAAGCCTCAAATTGAAGCCTGCTTGACCATATCCTGACGTGCGCATAATTACATCTACACCTTCAGATATGCACCTGTCCCTGTCCTGCTGTGCCGCTTTATCCGCTAGGGTTCGCACCAATCCAAGCTTCTCCAGAGGCTTCATCCTGGGCGCCAGGCTGTACTTGGTTTTTTTTTTTCCAAGATACGGGTGACATGTGGCGGTGCAGAAGCATCTCCCAGAAAGGTGACACAGTCCGGCGAATCAAATCTTCTCTTCTTTTTCGGCAGTGACGCTCGGAGCCTATCCCAAAGGAATTTCGTGACCTTGGAACCAAGTCGAAGGTGCTCTCCATACTTTCTGCAGGCCTCTCTTTCGGTGGACGTGGACCCGTGGCAGAGCAACCACAAAGCATCCCGAAGTCTGCTTACTTGCTTCCACCTCTCTGAACAGAGTATCCTGCAGATCCTTTTCCCGTGACCGGCTGAAGGTGGAACACCCCCAAGGAGACGCAGCACTTCAGGCGGGTTGAAGCCGTGGCGACTTGCGAAAGAGTAAAGTCTTGCCTGGCATGTCGAGGCGGCAATCAGGTTAACATGGACGAGAAGATTTGAAGGAAAAATATTGTCAAAACATGTAGAAAGGCCCGTTGTAGAAGGAATAAATTGGATAAGGATGGCTAGTTGGGCTAGCCAAAAACAACAGGGACAAAAAACAAAGGGAGAACTAGACCAGATGCGGCGTAACTTTCAACTGAACTGTTTATTTGGATGACAGAATTTAAAAAAAATATAAAAGCAGGCACACTTGGCAGAACACCGAAGATATGGTCTAAACCCCCCCCCCCCCCCTCAAATGCCAGCGTCATTGGTTCTTCAAATAGTAGAATTCTTTATCAGTCCTTGCTGATAAAGAATTCTTATATTTGAAGAACCAATGACGCTGGCATTTGAGGGGGTGTGTTTTTAGACCATATCTTTGGCGTTCTGCCAAGTGTGCCTGCTTTTATATTTTACATATTTTTTAAAATTCTGTCATCCAAATAAACAATTCAGTTGAAAGTTACGAAGCGTCCTGTCTAGTTCTCCCTTCGTTTTTTGTCCGTGTTGCTCTGAAATGTGTGAAACGACCGCAGTTCAAAATGTGAGCGGCTGGGTCTCGTTATCCTTAAGTCCTGTTATGTGCAGTCAAACATTGTTTTAACAAAATTCAAGGCATGCCGAATTGTTTTATTGTAGCCATTGTTTTGCTATAGTCATATTTACCCTTGACCGTAGCTATCGCGCGTGAAGGGACTTCCCTGGCCACTGGTAAGCTGCGGTGACATAGGCAATCGGACGGCTGAACGGCTACAGCCTCTGTTAACGGCGCTCACAAACTTGGCATGTGGCAAAATACTCTAAGGTACAGGTGGGAATTTTACTCTGGAAATCAGGTTTATTTCATCTAGCGTTTATCATGCCAGGAAGAGTCTGTCCTTTTCTTGCAAACTTCTGTCCAAAGAAGTTGGTGATATTTCGCTGTTGTGTTTTTCTTAAACAGAGGATGGGATTTCTCAGCAGGAGCGGTAATGGTCCTGCAGTCTTAACCGTCTTCATGTGCGCCAAGTAGCGGCACAGAAGTCTACCGCATCCAATGCCTGCGACGATGTCGGCGAGGGAACGTGCGGGACGGTGGTACCCAAGTCCTCTTCGTCTTCGCTCGTATCATCAGTTCCCATTACTGCTCGCACAATGTCCTCTGTGAGCTCCTCGGCCATCACAACATCCGCGTCTGCACTTACGTAGCCACAAAAAGATTCACCCTCAGGCATAGCACCAGCATCATCAAGCGTTTTTTACGATGCAACGACTTCGTCCGACGTGGTAGTTTCGGTTGATGTGGTGTTTCTGTTTGCATACTCCTCATCGACGTCACAGTGGCCGTCACCGTCTCTCGTGTTGTCCGCATATGATGCCCGCCTGAAGCAGTTTAGAATAGTGTTGGCGGTGACGCAGATTCATGCCGCCTGGAGCATCTCGATCGCCATGTACAAATCAATATCTGTCTCGCGCTTCATTCTCATGTCGATCAGCAACCGGTCGATCAGTAGCTTTTCGCAGCCTGCTTTGAAAGCCATGACCACACCTCGGTCCAGGGTTTGTCAGTGACGGGCTGTCGGCAGGCAGGAAGTGAACTTCGATGTTATCAGGACCAACGGTTGTGGTCGGCTGTGCAACTGTCCAAGAGTAGGCACACCCTTGTTTTCTTTTTTTTCCAATTTCTCGTTTTACTCACAGAGCCAACCTGAGAAAATGTCTCTATACTTCTTTTCAATTGCTATTGATCACATCGCAGCCAACAAAATGAGGAAGGTGATTCTGTTGGTAAATTCAAAAGTGTGATCGTAGCATTCGGCTGAATAAAAGATACAAAATCATGTTATTTAAGCTGGTACGCTCCAAAATTAATCACTTCCTCCTGCTGGGTCCCCAGCAAGGTCAGAATTGTGGGCAATAAGAGAGCAGATACGCTGGATTCTTACTCAATGAACCTTTTAAAAACCTCATCTGGCATCCCATTTCAATATATCCAAGAATGATTAGATTGGCACAACTAAAAACTTGGCAGACTGAATGAAAAGTTGAGCGTGCAAATAAGCTGCACCTTATAAAACGAGTCCTAGGGTGGTGGGAGAGCTCGTCCAACAAAAACTGTCAGGATGTTCTCTTTTGTCGCCGCACTGCGGGAAGAAAAAAACGATGAACCAGCTCACTCGCTGATTCATCTAATGGCCCCGACGCAGTAACCGTTTCTCAGGAACTCGCACTGGTATTGCTGGGTAACTTGCAGCTTCTTCTGGTACAATCGGTGCACTTGAACGTGCTCTAGCCGCTTTTCATGTAGATGTGCAGATCAGGGCCGATGTTTGGGCACTTGCAGTGAAAACGTCGGTTGCAGCCTGCCATGCAGATAAGATACTGCTGCTTTCCGTAGAAGCGGACAGCACACGAGTCACAGACATCTTTCAGTGGAGTGTATCCGAACACGTCTTTTGTCGGAGGCGTCATTTTGCGGTTGATACATACTTGGATAAAAACAACCTGAGAAAG